ATGAAAAACTAAAAAATGCGTAAATTATTAATTTGTTTAAGCAACAGCTTTATAGTTATTTTGTAAAATAATGGTTGATGTTTAAACTTTTCATTCTTAAGTTAAAGAATGGAAAATGTTGGCAGTTTGTTTTAAAAACAAAAGTATGGAAAATTCCATATAAAATTCCTTTTAAGTATACTTGAGAATTTACAAAACTGAAAGCATAAAATTTAAGTAAATTTCATTTTAAATGTTCTTGTCTGTATTGCTCACTGTAAAGATCTAAATCGTTAACAAAAGTTAATTTAATTAACTTAAAGATAAAGAGAAACAAATAATTGTTTCGTTAGTGTAGAAAAATGTTGACAAACGGTTAAAAATAAGTCTATACATGCTCAGCCCTATTTGTTTACATTTGTATCCTGAAAAAGGAAAATTGACACTTAAGTGATCCTTTATGCAATTACCATACATAGCCGATCACTCCCTTTAATGATCCTTATTCAGAAAAGTTTAATTTTCATTCCAAACTATTTTTTTTTAAACGGTTATATTCGTTAACAATTTATTATTCTATGATATTGATATTTCAGGCTGAATTAAAGGTTGTTCCCTGCTTAATGAATGAAACTGAAGATACCTCGGTAAAGTTAACACCGATATATATAGAAACTAGGGTTTCAGGGCGCTTCGCGTCCATCTTCTATTTCAATTATTAATATTTTCTCTTTTTCTTCATTAATAACAATGAAAAAATAAAAGTTCGGGCATTCTAAAATATTATTTCGTGGATTTTAAAATTTATATAAAAGATAGAATTTTGTTGAAGGCAAAAATTTTTTAATTTTGATAATACCCATAAACACACCCATAAACCCATAAACCCATAAACCGTCCCTGGGGTCATATGAGGTTTCACAAAAATATTGGGCCTTATCAGTTCAGTTGTTGGGACGTTTTTTGGACACAAACAGAAGAACAAACAAACAAACAGAAAGACAGACAAGCAAAGTATGTATATAGATGGATTATTTTCATTTTTCTGAAAAACTAACTGATCATTTTGTTAACAATGTAGAAAAAACCATTGTTTTTAAAAAGAATCTGTTGTTAAAATTAAAAACTGAGTATTAATATTTTTTTACATTATTTCATTAACGAAGGAAGGTCATTTTTAATTTTTAACAATTGTTTACAACAAAAAACAACCCTTTGCTGACAATTTAAAATTTAAAATTATAAACTGTATACAAAAACATAAATGCATAGGTTAACAAATTAAATTGGAATTCTATAGATATTGCATTTAATATGTAACAACTATTAAACTAATAGTATTATTAATAGTATTAAATAATAGTATTATTTATAGTACTTTTGATTACTTATTGAATTAATTAATATAGTATTTANTTTTTTGGACACAAACAGAAGAACAAACAAACAAACAGAAAGACAGACAAGCAAAGTATGTATATAGATGGATTATTTTATTTATCAATACTATTAATTTAATATGTAACAACAATTAAACTTATAGTATTATTATAGTATTATTAATGGTATTAAATAATAGTATTGATTAATAGTACTAATTAATAGTATTATTTATTGAATTAATTAATAGTATTTATCAATACTATTAATTTAATATTATTAGTTAATGTAATTTTACATCGTTGGATTGGGATTTTATGAAAATATAAAATATTTTTGCATTGGAATTCTATAATTTTTATATATTCTTATTGAGATTCCTTATACATTACTTTATTAATTTGAGATTCTTATAAATTTGATGGCTCGTTTTTATTTACAGGATACATTCATGTGCACACTTAAAGGAGACGGGGACACATGTGAAGGTAAAGTAGATAATCGATTATATAAATGAATTGAGAAATAAGTAAATAAATGAATTGAGAAATAAGTAAATAAATGAATTAATAAATAAAAAAGATAGATAAAGAGGTAAAAGTATGAAAAAATTAATGAATAAATAAAAAAAAGTAATTGAATGAATAGATTATTAAAAAATTAACTATTAGATAAATAAATAAAGAACTGAATGGATAAATTCCCCTCCATAAAAACATAAAATTTATGAATTTCGTCTATTTTAAAGGTTTTGTTATATTTCGTATTAAAAGGTTTCTTAAATATCCCTGATTATAAATGTCTTCTAATTTGTTATGTAATGCAATTGTATACAATGGATCTGTGGAAAATATCGCATATTCTAGCATTTAATAGATCTCTGTACTTTCTTAACTCTGTAAATGAGGTTTTTGATTCAGGCGATTCTGGGGGACCCGTGTTTTTTCAGCAGGAGGGGCAGTTCATACAGGTACACTAATACAACACAGTCCAGTACAGTGCAGTACAGTACAGTACAGAACAGTACGGTTCTGATGAAGAGCTTTAGCTGATAAGTACATATTTGATGAAGGTGCTCTGAGCTGTTTATAAACTGTAACTGATAAAAAAAAAACTAGTAAAAAAGAAATAATCAATAAATGCTGATTAATAATTTTAGATTACCTTGTTAAGGTCGGAGTGATTAGCAGTCGAAATAGCAATATTTGTGGAGAAGGAACAGGGTTTAGCACTGATCTTAAACTGCTAGGAATATCATTATTTTCACTGAAATCATTCTATGAACTATTCAGAAGAATAGTAGCACCTAAATCAAACATACAATAAATGTCAAAACGCCTTTACTTTACATTTATACATTTAAAAAAGCATGACATTTTCCTCTGTAAAATGTTCATTTTATTGTTCTATGTATAGTTAATTTCATGAATTGTTTAGGAATTTTCATGGTTTCACAGAAATTGTGGATTATCAAAATTATGTTTAAAATCAAATCTACAAATTTAAAAGTTTATTTGAACATTTTGAAATGAAGTTTTGTACTTTAGGCATTTTGAATTATAGGTGTGTTGAATCTATTTTGAATTATAGGTGTGTTGAATCTATTTTGTATTATAGGTGTGTTGAATCTATTTTGAATTATAGGTGTGTTGAATCTATTTTGTATTATAGGTGTGTTGAATCTATTTTGTATCCATTTGATTTTTCTAATTTATTTTTTAAAACTCAAAATAAAACAAATTGTTTTATATAATGATAGGAGATTGGGTGAGAGAAAACATGGAGGGCAAGGTAAAAAAACCTTATAAAATCAATTAATTTTACTACCGTCTTTGACCAACATGGAGGGGGGCAAAGTTTGAACTGTAAATTCAGAATATTTAGCCTCTTGGATATCAGGAAAAAGTTGCACAAGTATAAGCTAAGATACTTTAAAGGTACATATACAGTCCAATCACCTTGAAATTGCTTACTTAAGTACTTATAATTGCTTACTTAAGTACTTATAATTGCTTACTTAAGTACTACTTTATCTCTCCTTCAAACAAAACTCTGTGAACTTAAAAGGGAAAATTAGGTTACAGTACTGCAATAACAAATATTTTTTTAAGGGGGGGGGGGGCTCCTTTCAAATTTCTAAGAAGCAAACTATTTTTGTCCTGTTCTTCAGTCTTCACGCTTTAGTTTAAGATTTGAAAAGGGTGATAGCTCTAAGTTCTAGGGGGTGTGCTACGCCCCCCCCCCCTTCACATGCCCACCCGTATACGCCCTTGCTAAAATTTAGCTGGAAAATGTTCTTTTGATATGAAATTGGTCTAATATTTTCAGTTTATGCCTGACGGAGGTGGTTTCAATTTGCCAATTTTTTGCCCCTCATATGGTGCAAGAAATGGACAAATTTTCCTAATCTATATATATGAAGTTGTAATCTCTGTTTGTCTGTTTGTTTTTTCTGATCATAAATCTGGAACCCCTTGACTAATTTGCCTCAAATTTTGATTGTGGAACTCAGGAGACCTGCGGGAATGTTCTTAGCTAGAATTTGAGATTCTAAGTTAAGAGGTTCAAATTTTATATTGAAAAGTAAGTTTCTCGGTAAAAATCGTCTAGGTGCGGGTAAACAGCGGGAGTAACTATGAGTGCCCTGTGAAACGTTGGCTTCCCAAGCTAGTATATATATATATGTTTGAAAAACTGTAAGGTTCAAAGTTTGATCATTAAATATTGAGTTCCATTGTTAAATTAAAGCAATATTTGAATCAAAAGTTTTTTGGTTTCTTGTATTTATGTCTGAAATCTCTAAAGGGGTTTCAGATATTTTTTTACATTCTTCAATCAGCTTCCTCGCTCCCTTCCCTCCTCTGTTTAAGGATTTAAACAAAACTAGCAGAGACAGAGTTAGGTTAACAATCACTTTTTCTTTTTTAGTTTGACACCTGGATTTCAGTAGGAGCAGATGATACACAAGTTGATCAACAGAATGTGGAAGGAAGTGTATTATGAAAAAAAATTTATCTATAATCAAAGAAAAGACTTTTATTACCCTCCTCGTCTTTTAAGAGAGTGCTATATTGCAGAACTACTGTGATCCCAGCAAAATGGTCTCTCAACCATCTCTGAGTCTCAAAACGTCTCTAAGCCATTCTAGCTTGCCGTCCCGCTTTCTGATCTCAAATAAATAAAATTTGGTGTAGACAGAATGGCAGAGATTTGGAGACGTTCAGGGACTTGGGAGGCTTAAAGATGATTTTCCATAATTGGTGTTAATCCTGCAAATTAGGAGGTTGGAGACTCCTCTCTCAGTTAAACTTCAAATCTTTGATTTAGGTCTAGTTAAAATGTTACATAAAACACACTTTTAAACAGGGCGGAAAAAATGTAAAAGAACTGAAGGAGGAACTTCTCCTGTGAATGAAAAAAAACAGAACAAGGGAGAAGTTACTAATAGTGAACTGGCCAATGATGATATTATTGTTAGTAATCAAGGCCAAGTTACTAGTAGTGGTTGGAAATACAATGAGTATTCAACCACAAGTAAGGTTTTGGACTCTACTCCTACAGTTCCAAGTAGTGGGTGGGAACACATTGAGTCATTAGATTCTACTACTTCGGATTTAATTAACATTGAGAAAGGGGAGACTGAAAAGGAGAGGGAGGAGAAGAAGAAGAATGAGGAGAAGGGGAAGAAGGAGAAAAGGACGAAAGAGGAGGACAAGAAGAAGGAAGAAGTGGAAAAAAAGAAGGAGAAGGAGGAGGAGAAGAAGAAGGAGGATAAAGAGGAGGAGATGAAGAAGGAGGAGAAGAAGAAGAAGGAGGAAGAGGAGGAGAAGAATATTGAGGAGGAAAAGAAGAAGGAGGAGGAGGAGGAGGAGAAGAATATGGAGGAGGAAAAGAAGAAGGAGGAGGAGGATAAGGAACCAATTCGAGGGGAAGTAGATGATAATGATAATAGTGGTTTTTATGATGACCAGTATTCAGAGTCAAATAGTGATTCAGATGATTATGATGAAAAGAAGAAGAAAAGTGAAGAAAAGGTGGTGGGAGCAGGAAAAACAGATGATGATAATACTGATGATAATGCTGGTTTTTATGAAGATCAGTATTCAGAGTCGAATAATGATGATGATGATGATGGTGAGGAAGGAGAGAAGAAAGTGGGGGAAGAGAATGGAAAAGATTATGACGATGATTCATACGATAATCATGATGATAATGATAAGAGGGAGAAGGAGAAGGGAGATGGGGAGGAAGAAAACGAAAAAAAGAAAGCGGATGAGGATAAGAATAAGGAGGAGGTGGAAAAGGAAGCAGAGAAGAAGAAGGAGGAGAGTAATAACAATGAGCAGGAGAAGCCAGAGGAGGTGGAAGCAATTGGGGGAGAGGCAGATAGTGATGATAATATTGGTTTTTATGATGATCAGTATTCAGAGTCAAATAATGATTCAGATGATAATGATGATGATGATGATGATGAGGAAGGAGAGAAGGAGGTGGGGGAAGAGAATGGAAAAGATTATGATTCATACGATAATCATGATGGTAATGATAAGAGGGAGAAGGAGAATGGAGATGGGGAGGAAGAAAATGAAAAGAAGAAAGGGGATGAGGATAAGAATAAGGAGGAGGTGAAAAAGGAGGCAGAGAAGGTGGAAGCGATTGGGGGAGAGGCAGATGATGATGATAATATTGGTTTTTATGATGATCAGTATTCAGAGTCAAATAACGATTCAGCTGAGATGAGTGAAGACGAGGTGGTGGTAACAAGGGAAAAAGAGGAGGAGGTTTCAAAAAATCATAATGATGAGGAAAAGGAGAAGGAAGATGAGGAAGAGGAGAAGGAAGAGAAAAAGGAAAAGAAAGAGGAAGAGGAAGAGAAAAAGGAGAAGGAAGAGGACAAAGAGAAAAAAGAGGACAAGGAAAAGGAAGAGGAAGAGGAGAAGAATGAGAAAAAGGAAGAGCAGAAGAAAAAGGAAGAGCAGAAGAAAAAAGAAGAGCAGAAGAAAAAGGAAGAGCAAAAAAAAAAGGAAGAGGAAGAGGAGAAGAATGAGGAAAAGGAAAAGCAAAAGAAAGAGGAAGAGAAAAAGGAGAAGAAAGAGGATAAGGAGGAAGAGAATAATGAAAATAATCCCATAAATGGTAATACTGATGATAATGGAGAAGATAAGGATGATCCAGTTCCTAGCAGTCGTTGGAAGCGCACGGAGTATTACCCCTGGATTAAAGATTTAGGTTCTTCAGATCCGAAAAAGGATGTCGAAACTATTGATGGAAAGTTTTCTGAGACTAGAAGAGAAGAAGTACTAATTGATGTCAATAACGGGTTTATGAATATTCTTAGAAAAATTGAAAAAACCCAAAATCTTGTGAATCAGACTGATTTCTAATTATTTTCCAGTAACATACAGGACACAGGAAGTTTCAATTAATATAGAATAATAACATTGAGATAGTTTTTATTTTCTGATCCCCAGAACATTCTGTGTGAATTTCTTCTTAGCTTTCTAAATGTAGAGGAATGTTATTTGAGGCCCATTTTAAAGGGAACAAATTTTGCTTTAAAGTGTTTGTGACATTTGGTCGATTAAATTTTTTATTTATGATTGTACACATTCAGTGGAGTACAACAAATGTTCCTTCTCCAATCCAACTGTGCAGTGTACACTGTACATCATCTACATTCATAGTGCATCTGTATAATTTGTGATGACCAATGTTGACCAATGTAATTTTCCAAGCTTACTACATATTCTGTTTTGAAATAAATATGTCGAATTTACTTGAATGAATTAAAGATAGGTTTCCTTACAGAAACATTTCTGAAGCTTTTAAGAATGTTGACCCATTAAAATTTCAGGTAATTAACAGTGGAACCTTTCTCTATCAAGTCCTGTTTAAATCTACCTCCTAGATGTTCTCAGGTCTAGGTGTGAATGTGATTTGATGGAAGTTAAGAGAACAATGCTACAGATCAATTCTAAATGAAATAATTGACCCGTTAATTTTTTTCAGAATGCCACACACAAAGCTCTGTGCGTATCATCTATGGGGTATATTTTTTTGAAAATCATCACTACCTTCTTATTCCTACCTTCTACCCTGTATTATTAATGAAAATACAAAGAACAATGCGTTTCATATTATTCTACTAATTGGTGAAGCAGTCTATTTTGCCTTACAGTTATATCACCTGCATGTGCGAAGTGGTCGATAACAACTGCTCAAAAAAGCTGCCAAAAATTTTACTAAAACAATAATTTTATCCAATGAAATGTAAATTATATAAAATGTAACTACTTTAAACATATTTTTTTAAACAAAAATCTTGAAAATGTTCACTCCGTAAAAAATAAAGCGGGTCTTATATTTTTGTCTAATTTTTGCGTTTCTTCTCAATACCTATCAAGATCTACACTGAATAAAAACAAAAACAAGCACAAATATGCTTGAACTTGGTTTCTGGGTTCACAAGTTACGCAAAACTTTTAAAAAAAAAAATAATTTGTAAACAAATAAGGGGTTAAAGGGTGACTACAGTGAGTGGTCGATATCGACCACTTTGTACATAGACGGTTAAAAACATGGAATGGAAAAACAGGAAAGGACAGGACGGGACAGACAGGACAGGACAGACAGGACGGGACGGACAGGACGGGACAGGACACCAAAAGAATTCACTTCTTAAAAATGTTCATAAACATTTTTATCTTTAAATTTAAAAAACAAAGTTTGAGTTTAAAATATTTATTCAGGTGTTTAAAAATGTAATAAGTGTTAAATTTGTATTCTTTTTTTAAACATTTATAAAGATCAAAATCTTATTATTTTTTATAATTATTTGTGTTTCAGTATTGTAAACTGTTTTGAAATTTTAGCTCTAAGATTTAGTTTTATGTTAATATGAATATTTCCTACTATATTTAAGTGTCATGTTACGATAAGTATAATATATAATAAAACAGCTTAGTACAATAATGATGCAGAGAGGGGAAATCATTTTGACATTACTTATCCTCTATCATCTGGTGATTTTTTTAATCTAAAGAGACTGTTCGCATAATTTCAAGTGATACTCGATTTAAAAAGTCAAATGTTTGATTATTTTTAATTTCAGTTTTTATTTATTAACCTATATAATAATAAGTGATTATCTATATTTGTAGTGATTAAAGTGTGTACATTTCACATCAGGAATTTACTATTTATAAGGAATTCAACACTATGAAATCCTAAAACAGGGATTTTTTCTAATTTGTTAAATTAATTTGAGCTGCGTCTCAAATCAAACAAAAGCAGGTGTCTCAAATCTAACAAAATCAGGTTTCAATTGAGCACCAGCTCAAATCTTGAAACATTTTATACAATTTAAGTGGAACCAATTATTTTTGAGCTGAATCTCAAATTTAAGCTGCAGCTCAAATTCTTTTAATTCGGCTTAGAGACAGCTAAAAAAAATTATATCTACAATGGGACTCATAATGAGTATGAATGATTGCTTTGCTTTGAAGTTTGTTTGTTTGTATCCAATTAACATGAAAACGGCTTAACTGTACAAGCCAAGATATTTTTTTGGCGGGTCAGAATTTAAAAGTTTGCCTTAAAAAAATCGGGTTTTTTTAAATCCAAAATAATTAATCAATCTGAGAAACTTTTGTTGTTCTTGTTTGATAATTTAAAAAGAGTAAATGCTGCAGATAGAGCAACAATTAAAAGTTAAAGTTGAAGAAGGCTTTTTCTATATCACTTCAAACTTGACACTTCTTTCATTTCCATTACCTGCCTTCTTTTTACAATTGATGAATCTTTTAATTGTGTATTGATTTTTAGTTGCGGCATTTAACATGTAAGCACGGCTCTATCTTTTCAGTGGACAATTGCAGAACCTTGATAAGTTTAAATATCTAGACGATTCTCGTTATTGCACTGAAACCCACCCAAAACTCTGAAGAAGATGATTGTGTTCCTGAAGATATCGAGGTTTGATTTAGTTTTATTTAGTACTAAGAATTCTTTTTTCATCTATGAAACAAAAACAATTACACATCACTATTACCAAATAAATTATCAAGTACAAAAGATGGCAACAGAGAAATGGATCAATTATACATTTCATCACAAGTGTCAAATATAACATGGAAAACGAAATTTTCTCACATAAGTTGCCATGTTTTCCAAGATTAAATAAAAAAGTGTAAAAACAGAAAATGAAGAAGTACTTATCTTGTACTTTTTTCATTGCAAGATAAGCACTTTATTCTAAAATTATCACTATTATAAATAATTTTGTCGGACACAATAACTAAGTTGACAGCTGTAATGAGAGTATACAAATTCTACGTTGCCATCTATTGTACTAGAATCTATTGATTATAACTAAATGCCTTCAGAAAGAGCAAATCAGAATTTTGAAAAAGTAGGTGTTTTGACATTATTTGATTTGAAAATAACTGAAATCTGGATTTCTTAATAATTATCGCAATTATAAGGGTAAAGAAAGGATGCAATCCACATTTTACAATACACATTATATTTATCAAATCTCTAGACTCAAATAGAAAACTTCAGCATTTTAAAATAATTATCCTAAATGACACAGTCATACACAGTCATTTTAACGGGTTTTCCGCCATGTTTGACCCTTGTAGACCATTTTTGGCTCATTTTTTTGACTCGGTCAATTTCCTAAAGTCGTTATAGTTTTGGAAATCATATGAACAACATTGATACACAAGAAAATCATTTTAATTTACTCAATTTACAATTCCTTAAAAACTGTGTTGCAAATATGGGAAATTTTTTCAGGGGCAGCCTAAGCTACCACCTATTTTTCCCTACGTCCAATATTTTTGTGACCTGCTTGAGTTTTCATTGACAAAAAAGTAATTTTTGTTTTATTTTTAGAAAGTTGGAGATGATTATGCAGACTATATAGTTAATGGGCAGGAGGTCAATCAGGGGAAATATCCTTGGTAAATAAGATATAAATGAAATAAAGGGATTGTGAGCATAATTTCAAGTGACCTGCCATGCACAGATGGCAATGACCAATTTAATTTTTAACATTTTTTTATTTTTTTATTAACAGTATGTATAAATTAAAAAGCAATTAAACAGGGTGCTCACACTTAATTTTCTGCACTACTTTTGCGCTTGTTTTCTTATGTTTTTTTTCCTGTGCTTCAATTTTCTATCATGTTCTTGGTTACATTTTGAAAGAGAAGTTTTTTGGACGTTCCGATAACCACCAATATGTTTTCAGTTCTGGAATTTTGTTGGACACTCTCTTCTTACACTCTATATGTATTTTATTTGGCAGACTAGGCATGTCTTGGTTTAATATTTCATTTTCCTTATTGCATTTACAGCTGATCGGACTGTTTCGAATCAGAAGGGGTGGAAAGGGGTTAGGCAGGTGTAGGTTTCTGCAATTGTATTTATGCTAAATCTCAAATCTAGCCCTACCAGTATGCATTTTTTTGTAGTACTTTATCTTCTTTATTTTTTGGATCTTTTTACTTCAAGGTATGGATAATTTAGAGGAGTTGGAAGTTTGGAAAAAAAAGTCTTTTTGTTCTTCGATTTAAAGTCAATTTTAACTTGTGTGGAATTGATGAACTCATATTGTTTTGCACCACATTATGCAGATGAGGATACTAATATTCTTTTTATACCCAACTCTGGATAAGATCTTCAATAGCAATCAATTCTTACCAGCAGGGTAATTTCTAGTTCCATTTTCAAGAGCAGAAAAGGGAAAAAACGGTATCAGCATGATACTTCTTCCCTGATTTTTGAGATATATGCCAGAGAAAAGCTGAGGTTGAAGTTTCACTATTCATTTTCTTTATTCCTTTATCTTGACTGCATTCCACTCAGCCCTTAAACTTCTTCAAATCCTTGGACCGCTTTCATGCCTGCTCCCAGCTCTGTTTCATGGAGAAGGAACTTGGGAGGACCTCTTCTATGAGCGAGTAGCATATGACTGACACTTAAAACCTTAAAAACTTAGAACAAGACAGCTGTAAAGAACCTGACTCTCCTAAAGTCAGCAGAAACTTTAAGGATATCATTGTAAATCGGGCATTGCCATCTTGGCATCGCGGTCATTTGAAATTACGCTTACAGTCCCTTCAACAGAATCAATTTAGTGTACAGGCCAAAGAGACACTTTCCTGAATCTTTTAAAACCATAATAACTTTTGGGAATTCGGGCGTATCTTTCTTGACCCAATTTGGCATAGAATTGATAGGATTGATTTGGACTGGTGAAGGCCTAACCAAACTTTTGCCCATTTTCTTAAAGGGAGTGACCAGCAATATATGGTGGTTGAACTGAGATTGCAGTATTGTAGAGAAAATGTTTAGAATTTATTTGAGACATATAAAGCGTTTCCACAATGTATAATTACTGAGCTTGAGTGCAAAGGCGACGTTCAAAATCATGAATTTGGATGGGTACGTTTTCAGAATCGTTTTTTTAAATCAATAAAAAACGACGTCAAAAAATATAGTAAAAATTCTATAGTAAACTAATTAGATGTTTAGGAGCATACTTCTCTAAAGATATTCATCAATAAATCAAAGTTAAAATTATTTATTTCCTTGTTCATCATTATATTATTATCATAGATTTATTTCGTACACAAAGGTAAAATGGTACAAAATGATAAGACAAAAACAAGAATAAAGTATAATATATAAATATAGTTTCTAGTCGGAACATAAAAAGTTGATCATGGTTGCGATCTAATTATCATCAAAGTTGTTTAGAACAAAATTATCTTCTTTAACTTTAATTCATGAAGAATGAGTAATTTCCACTCTTGGTCTAAGAATTTCTTATTTTCTAAGAATTTGTTCGCAGATTTCGTCAAATGTTTCATATGTTGTCTTTTCAATAAAATTTCCAGAAAATCTGCAGAAAATCTTTGTGAATAATGAGAGATTATAGAAACTAATAATGAAATAAAATTACTTATTTTTGAGAAAAAGAGTTAATTTTTATTTTCTCAACCTGTTTCCTGATTAGTTTACTGTAGAATTTTGTTACATGTTTTGCCGTCATTATTTAATAATTTAAAAAAATCGATTCTCAAAACCTACCCACCCAATTTGATGATTTTAAATGTCAACTTTGCGCTCAAACTCAGTGATTATAGATCTTTAAAACATTTTGTATGTCTCAAATTAATCTAAAAAATTTCTCTACAATACTGCAGTCTCAGTTCAACCATAATACATTGCCGGTCACTCCCTTTAAGAATTATAAACTATTAAATGTTTTGGAAATTAACAGCTGAACCTTTCTGAATTTAGAAAAAATCTGCCTCCTAAATGCTTTAAAGTTCTGTGTGTGACCTGTTAAACAAAGTCAATGTAACGACTATATCGGATCATTTCCAAATAGAAAATTTTGTGAGTTTAAATTTACTTGAAAATCCAGTAAGAAAAGTTTTGCTGTTAATTTCTTGTAAATAATACGTAAAGGCTTCTGGAAAGGCCTTTACGGGTCCAAATTGATCGAGGAAAAAATGGAAACCCTTCAGAGAACTTGTAGCTCCTATTAGAGGTACATAATACACATATCCTAAAGATTATACTTTTGAAAATGCTTCCCACTACCATAAGTTTGAATAAAAAAGCTCTCAAATTAATGTACTTAATAGGATGGTTTACATAAGTTACTCAACAGAGGATGGAGAAGATGGGGGAACCTGTGGTGCATCAGTAATCTCAAAGTAAGAATTTCTGGAAACATTCTCACACTTCCTTGTTATATAGGGTTTCTAATTTTTTACGGATCAATTTGAATTTATGAATTCCTGAATTTCCTGGGCCCTCAATCTAAAAATTTTGGAAAAATACTAATCAGGTATAAGCTAATTTATGGTTTGGGCTTTTGAGTTTAGGTTGCATCAAATTTTCCACAAAGTCGAATTCATAAAACCAGTTTATTAATGTATTTGGCGGATTTTCACGGTTGAAATTGGCGCATTTTGGGTTTTGATGAAAACAAGACTCAGCATTGAGCCTTATTTTGCGCTAAAACCAACCAAGGTCGGTTTTATTTTCATTGAGCTTAACTTCTTAAGTTGAGCCTAAGATCTTGAACCTGTCAATTACATGACACAAGCTGTCGTCAGAGTTGGGTCTAATGATTGGGTCTTAAAGCCATGGGTTTAAGTCATTAAGACTCAAGCTGAAGCTTTTAAATTGTAGGCTCAGTAGAATATCAAACCGTTTTTACCTTATGGAAACCAAAATAAGAATACATCTACCTCCTAAATGCTTCTAAATATAAATATTTATATTGATCAGATGCTACAAAGAGCTAGGTGTGACATGCTGAAAAAAGTTTACAAGACAATTATTCAAGATCAATTCCATATGGAATTCTCCTCCCCCAAACTTTTTCCAGCATTTTATACCTTTCTCTGTGTAACATCTAGGGGATAGATTCTTTTGAAAATGGGTTAAGAAAGGTTTCACCTTTAATTGTTCTAAAAGTTTTGAATCTTCATCCTGTAGTCTGTTTTTTCTCTGAAAAGAACAATCTTAACTTTGGGTACCTCTTCATTTACTTCAGAGGTTATACGCCCTCATTGGTTATAGGGATTTTATTGAAAGAAGTATTTACAGGGCTCGCAATTGCGTGCAAGTAAAATCCGCTTGCGTTGAAAACCCTAGTCGTTCATGAACGATGAATGATGAATGATGAATGATGAACGATGAACAATGAACTATGAACAATGAACAATGAACGATGAATGATGAATGATGAATGATGAATGATGAACTATGAACAATGAACTATGAACAATGAACAATGAACGATGAATGATGAATGATGAATGATGAACTATGAACAATGAACAATGAACGATGAACGATGAATGATGAACAATGAACGAAATGAAAAAAAGCTGAATGCCCCCATCTCTAGTTTAAAGACGGGTACTTATCTCTTAAACCTTTTTTAAAGGCAAACCCTTAATTTTTGGCTGAAAAAAAATTAGTGTTGTGTTTTTTGTAATTTAAAAAAAAAAAGTTTTTAGGAATGTCGTGCTGACCGCAGCCCATTGTGTTTTCCTTGACGTAATTATTGAGGTAAACCAACAAGATTTTAGAACAAAAAGAGCTAAATTGATAAGAAGAGAATGCAATTTTAGGACAAAGAGCTAAATTGAGAAGAAGAGAATGCAATTTTAGAACAAAGATCTAAATTGAGAAGAAGAGAATGCAATTTTAGAACAAAGAGCTAAATTGAGAAGAAGAGAATGCAATTTTAGAACAAAGAGCTAAATTGAGAAGAAGAGAATGCAATTTTAGTTTATTTTCCTTGAGCAAGAAGTGCCATTATATCCTTGATAAAATCTTAGATATCTAACAAAAGTTTAAAATGAGTTTTAAGTGCTAGGGCACATTTTTACGCAACTTAAATGCTTTACATGAAATAATACTTTTACTCACAGGGGTCGACGTTCATATCAATACATTGAAGACAACTTTTCCCTTTAAGTTTTGATTTGTCACAAGCTTTTTTGAAATGACAAGTTGGAAATTAAGTAAAGAGAATTTGCACCTACTACTCTTTGTTTCCATGTTTATGTGATTCTATCCATGGTATTTGAAAACTTGATAGATATCAAAATTGAAATCAAAAGTCGTCTTGTATTGATATATACGAAAAGAATTTAACAAATCACCAATTTTGGAACATTTAGGTGGTTATAGGAAGTGTTAAGATAAAAAATGGTCTAAAGCATACTGTCAGTAAGAAGCTTATACACCCAGGTAGGACACAGTATAATACAGCAAAGTACAACTTTGTTTAGTACATTAGAGTACAACAGACAATACAGCTTTGTTCAGTACATTAGAGTACAACAGTTCAATACAGCTCAATTCAGTACATTACAGTACAACAGTACAATATAGCTTAATTCAGTACATTATAGTGCAACAGTACAATACAGCTTAATTCATTTCATTACATTACAACAGTACAATACAGCTTAATTCAGTACATTACAGTACAACAGTACAATACAGCTTAATTCAGTACATTACATTACAACAGTACAATACAGCTTTGTATCAGTACATTACATTGCAGTGCAACAGTACATTACAGTACAACTATCCGATACAGCCTAATTCAGCGCATAACAATACAAAGCAAAATACAGCTTAATTCAGTACATTTCAGTACAACAGTGCAAAACAGCTTAATACATTACATTACAGTACAACAATACAATGCAGCTAAATTCAGTACAATACAGTACAACAGTACAATACAGCTTAATTCAGTACATTACAGTAAAAAAGTACAATACAGCTTTATTCAGTAAATTACGGTACAACAGTGCACTATAGCTTAATTCAGTACATTACAGTACAACAGTACAATACAGCTTTATTCAATACATTACTGGACAGCTGTACACTACAGCTTAATTCAGTACATTATAGTACAACAGTACAATCCAGCTTAATTCATTACATTACATTACAACAGTACAATACAACATTAAGTACAGTACATCAGTAAAGGAAAGTGCAACAGCACAGTACAGTGCAACAGTTCAGTACAGTTGTTTCGCATTGGAATCTGGCCGCTTAAAATATCCTACAGTATCGACCATGATCTGCTACAGGGTTAGGATTGGAACCGGGACAAAATCTCGAATCTCTACAGAAAGAAAACACTCAAAGACTTGTTCTACAGGTTCAATCTGTAAAAGATAGCCCAAATTAATTTATTATAATCATAAAATACAATATGCAGAAAATAAAATTATAGACAAAATGACCACAAGAAAAATAAAATCTATGATAACTTAGAAATACGTGAAAATTCTTACATGGATACATTCGTCCATTAAATCCAAAATAAAGAGAACAAGGAATGACACTCAATTCTATAAAAATCACGTAGTAATGTTTAATCAATACCTTAATACGCCGTTCACAGATCACAACAAACAATTCTATTTGTATCAAAACCATTGGTACTAGAATAGGGTATTGCAACGAGGGTCGCGCACGAATAAAAGGTCGATACGGTATGGGGAAGATCTGTACATGTCTGACGTCACTGATTAAAACTATCGGTGGAGAATTCCCAGTCCACCAAAGAAATGCCAATCACAATTATGCGTATACTAGCCTACAACAGTTCTTATCCCAAGACAGTTCTAGGATCAGTGCCCTATCCTCTGTGCCCTGTACCAGGTTATGACGTAGGCAAGGTACAGAAGCTAGAATCACTAGAATTGTATGACTACCTTACCCTATTCCATGGAATTGCAACTGAATACACAAAGGTTTTAAAGGTTGTAAATCGGGTATTGCACTCTTTGCATAAATGGTCCCTTGGAAACATTTTAACCGATTATATAAGCCAATGGCGACAAGTTGGGAAATAGGGTCCCTTTGAAACATTTAACCGATTATATAAGCCAATGGCAGCATGTTGGATATAGGGTCCCTTGGAAACATTTTAACCGATTGTGTAAGCCAATGGCGACATGCTGTGTAAATAGGTTCTCTTGGAAACCTATTAACCGATTATATAAGCCAATGGCGACATGTTGAGTAAATAATTCTTGACTTTTTATGTTCGACATCGGTTGGTCGGAGACTAAATGTTTGCAGGGTCTCTTGAAATTACACTAACATTACCTTTAATCAAGCATAATATTGGACAGAATCCAGTATATAAAACAAAAGTTACATTTAGAACAGCCTGTCTAATATTTGAAACCTACATGAGCATACTTTATCTGTATGTTTAGAAAGTAATGTATGCAAAATATGTGCAGAAATTTTGCTATGCGCAAATGTGTATACGCAAGACTTTCAAACAAGCTTAAAAAAGATTTTGTCTTGTCTGTCTGACGGGTTAAAGTACAATTTTATCTTTAAAATACCAAGATAAAAGTTTCTTACATCATCGCCAGTATTTTTATTTTACATTTTTCTCTATAGTTTGAAATCCATCTTGTTTAGTCACAAGATGAAGATCAAACCGATAGCAATTATAGAACCAAGGGACAAGGTTGGGCATTTAGAACATTCATATTCATATTTGCCATTTTCAATTTTAAGCTTTCATTTTTTATTTATCTTATCAAGTGAGGCAACCAATTGTTGCACAGCTTTTACCCAACACTTTATTAATGTTTTTTTTCCCACAATCTTGTTAAACTTTTCATTTTAGCAAGGCACTAGGGATACAATAAATATAAAGGGAATATTACATTGTCAAGGCTTCTCAAGACCTAAAGCATGACAAGAGTAGCGAGGGATGATTAGGGACCCAAGATCGAGGGAAGCCAAGGCAATGTAATATTCACTCCAATATTTATTACATCCTTGTTTCTTCACATGTATAAAGTGATATGTAATTTTTACACTTTCAAACAAATTTTATGAAGATTTTTCCCCTTCTAAACAAAATATAACATCAATTAATTAGATTGCATCTCTTGGGTTGCAATCTAACATTACAACCAAGGTTTCAGGGTTACAAAGAAAATATCAGGGATTTAATGGTGTCATAATTTTGCTCAAAATTTTGAGAAATTTATTGTGTCCTAAATACTGAATTGAGTTACCAGATGTCGTCATAGTTGCTGGCTGGGGAGAGACTTACAATATATATTTGTTAACTGAGAGAAAACCCTCCTTTTTGGAACATCTTTTCTTTGGAGTTTAACTCTACTTCAATTCTTAACTTAAATATAAATACTGGAGAGATATTTTCCAGTTTGAAATATCTAGCTTCCGGATGGAAGACAATCTTTAGTATCCTCTGCATGGGTCCCCCCAACATCTTCATCATGAACTTCATTGTAAAAGATGTTTATCTCAAGCTCTTTGTCTGGGGAATTCACAAACTGGAGGATTTTAACACAGGAGATAAGCAAACTTTCTTCCTCTTGTTCACAGCTATTGGAGGAGGTGTCTGACATACTGTTTTTGGAGCTGGAGACATCGAAACTGGAGATATTGGAGCAAGAGACATCAGAGTAGGAGGTCTTGGAGGTCTGCCTGTGCAAGGTGGCAACTGAGCAACAACAGGGACTTCAGACAGGACTGGTTTTAGATGATCTACGGAGACTGAATCTATCCTGGAACCAATCTGTACAGTAAAATACTTTGGAGTATGAGAAACTACCAAGAACGGACCTCTGTACAACTGAGGCAAAGGAGGTTTTGACATATCTTCTCTGATGAGCACATGAGTACAGGGTTCTAAACTTTTAGGAATTTTATCTAAACTTGTAGAAATTGGGACTGATTGATAATCAGTTAGAGAAATGGGATTTTTCTTCAGGATATCTTGGATTCTCTGGAGAAATTCAACAAAGGGCAGTTCTTGCCTGGTTAAAAATTTTTCTGGCAGTGTTAAAGATGAACCAAAAACTGCTTCTGCTGCAGAGACGGCTGAATATTCTTTAGGAACACTCCGGAGACCAAGCATAACCAGAGGAAGATATGAAACTAATCTAAACCTGCACATCTATTTCTAAGAAATACCTTGATCTGACAATGGAACCTCTATACTAGACCATTAGACTGAGGATACAAACTTGTTGTTGTAGAATGCACAATACCAAGGAATCTACACATTGAATGAGGGAACTGAGCCCCTCTGTCCAAGGTTATCAAAGAAGGAACTCCAAAGAGAGAAACCCAGCATCAGAGTAAAACCCAAGCACAGTCTTCTGCTGTTGTAGAGGAGAGTGGAACAACTGCTTCTGGCCATCTTGTCATTCTATCCAGGATTGTAAAAAGGTGAGAGAAACCACTACATTGGGGAAGAGGGCCAACTAGATCCACATGAATGTGGGAAAATCTTTGTCCTGGAACTGAAATTGGATTAACGGAAGTTTTTACATGAGTGGATCTTATTTTTTTGACATTCCAAACAAGATTGAGCCCAGAGATTTACATCCTTGGAGAGAAACTCCTATACAAAACTTCAAGAGATTAATCTCCAGGAAGCAAGTTCTGAACAGGAGACTGGGAGGGAGATAATCTTGAGAGAGGACAAATGACAGAGATATTATACTTTGGGACAGGACTGTTGGTGGAAAGACATCCCAGTGTAAGCAATTACATGAAAAATTGGCAGAGATGGTCGAGAAACTGTGGAAACCAGCTGTGGTATAGGATTGATGGAACCAGGACAAGATAGGGCGTCAGCAACCAAATTCTCAGCACCAGGCAGGTGGCGGATATAACAGTTGAACTCAGAAATGAATGACAGGTGCCATTGCTGCATGGTGGACCAGGGCGGAGAAGTTTTAAACAAGGCTTGTCTTAGGAGTTTGGGATCACTGAACAAAACAAACTGTATACTTTTGAGCAGGAACCGAAAATTGCGGAGGGCAGAGTAATCAGCAAACAGCTCCCTGCCAAATGCTAAATATCTTGACTCACCAGGAGAAAGTCTCTTGGAGAAGAAGACAAGAGGAGCCCAGGAACCTGCTACTTCTTGCTGTAGAACAGCCCCTACCTGAGATCAAGCAGCATTAATGGACAGTGAGATTCTAGCAGTAGGATCTGGATGCACCAGAGTTGGAACATCAGAGAGAATAAATTTTGCAGCAGCAAAAGCTTGATTCATTCATGACAAACCTTGGCCTTTTCCCTTCAAAGTTTCAGTCAAAGGGAAAAGTAAACCTTCAGCTCCCTTTAGGAATCTACTGTAAAAATTCAGAATTCCTAAAAAATGCTGGAGAGATTTCTTGTCCACGGAATAAGGGAAAGCAAAAATAATCTCAGCATGCTTGAATAGTGAAACACGACCAAACCAGACACTCTTATGCCACGGTAGTCAAGCTCTGCAGCCCCAAAAACACACTTATCTGGGTTGATGCTCAGACTATGAAGACAAAGTAAATTAAGAACTTGGTGAACATGATGGAGGTGAGGTCAGGACGGGAGATGAGAACATTGTCAAGGTACACAAAGCAGTTTGGAAGGTCACCTAGGATCTGGTCCATCATGCCTTGGAAAGTAAACCCAGCATTCTGTAGGCCAAAAGGCATTCTAAGCCATTAAAAAAGGCCAAAAGAAGTGATACCTGCCGTCTTAGAAACATCTGCTGTAGACATAGGATACCTGATAATAGCCTTTTGTGAGATCAACTTGGTAAAAACTTTACATCCATGGAGCCTTACAGTAAAATCTGCCACATTTGGTAAAGGATGGGGATCAGGAATAGTCTGAGTATTCAACCGGCGGTAATCTCAACAAGGTCTCCAGGAACCATCTGGTTATTTTTACCATTTGCTCAGGGAGAAGAAAAGTGGCGTATTACTCCAGCAGCCTCAATAAGCGGCAAATTCCTTCCTTGCTGATTCCAGCTTCTCTGCCAAAACTGGTGGACCAGGAAAAGTGGGAACATTATGTCGAGCTGGGTGTTTTGAAACGGTAGAACTAAACCCCTTGAATGACACAGCATCAGGATACTCAGCAATAAGATCAAAGAACTCCTCTGGGGTTGATAGCAAGGCGGTATAAAGTTGAGACTTGCTGTTGGGGGTCGAGGCAGGAATTGGTTCTAATGTTGAAGCATCCAGTAAACAAGAACAGGTTGGATCTACTATTATGATGATAATGAATGATGGAGAAAATCAGAGCCCAGAATTGAAATTGACACTTTTGCAAGTAGAAAATCCCATTCAAACATTCTTGATCCAAACTGCAGAGCCAAACAGCAGGAACCATTAGTATCCAGTGAGGTTCCATCAGCAGTTCTCAACTGTATTACAACACCAGGAACTGAAGGAGAACCAGGATCGTGTGGGGAAACTGAAGCAGATGCCCCAGTAGCAACAAGGACCTTGGACAAACTAACCTGATTTTGGAGAAATATCAAATTTGAAGATTGAGTAACTCTTTTTGTTTTGAACTGAGCCTCAGCCTGGAGGAACAATACCTAGGGAGATTCTGTCCAGAATGTCGTGATCTTGATGGTTACGGTTGTCAGAGGTGCATGATCCAGGAATTCTGGTGATTCTGGAGTTTCTGGCAACCCTACAATCACTGAAACAAAAGAAAAGTCTTGATCACTGGAAATCCTACTATTTCAGATGCCTTGGCGAGAGATAAAAATTGTCACGTCAGGGTCACAAAATGTAGCGATGTAAAAAGACAAATATTTTTATTTGGTTTGGAATATCTAGCTTTCTGATGGAAGACAATCTTTGGTATCCTCTACAGAACTTAAGTGAAACCAACATTATTCGACTCAATTCCTTTGTCATAATTTATTAAAATATCCATACAGTTCCAATCTGTTAACATAATTTTCCATCATTTCTAAAAAACTTGAACCCTTAGGAGAGAATATTGTTAAATTAAAGATATTCTGACTGTGCAACGTCAGATATTCCTGGTTAGTGCAATAAATCTGATAAATGAGTCATGCTGTGCAAGGTCAGACATTCCTGGTTACTGCAATAAATCTGATAACTGAGTTAACCAAATTAGAACACACTAAAACATACAATCAAACTTAGTGAGTGTCTAAAAAATACTGGTTTCGACCAAATTTTTTATTTAAATTATCAGAACCAGGCAAAGTCATTAGAAGAAAAAAAAGGAAAAATTGATTTCAAGAAGAATAATAAAGTTAAAAATTTTCTGTATTAACTGTATCCAAATTATAAAATTTAAAATTCAAAATAATAAATTGTAAAAAAAAATATTATGACTGATAGAATTTATATTTCTCTCCAAGGCATTTATATTTCAGGCAAAATTGAAGGTTGTTCCCTGCTTGAAGNTTCAAAATAATAAATTGTAAAAAAAAAAATATTATGACTGATAGAATTTATATTTCTCTCCAAGGCATTTATATTTCAGGCAAAATTGAAGGTTGTTCCCTGCTTAAAGAACGAGACTGAACATTACTCGGTAAACTTACCCCGGTACTTTGTTGCACATTGGGATTCTTTAGAGATTGCATTGGGATTCTTAGTAATAATATTGGGATTCCTTAGAGATTACATTTGGATTCTTTAGAGATTACATTTGGATTCTTTAAAGATTACATTGGGATTCTGTAGAGATTACATTGGGATTCTCAAGTAATTACATCGGGATTCTTAGTAATAATATTGGAATTCCTTAGGTATTACATTGGGATTCTTTATAGTTTACAGCGGGACTCTTTAGAAATTACATTGGGATTCTATAGAGATTACATTGTGATTCTTTAGAGTTTACATTGTGATTCTTTAGAGATTACATTGGGATTCTTTAGAGTTTACATCGGGATTCTTTAGAGATTACATTGGGATTCTTTAGAGATTACATTGGGATTCTGTAGAGATTACATTGGGATTCTTTAGAGTTTACATTGGGATTCCTTAGATATTACATTGGGATTCTTTAGAGATTACATTGGGATTCCTTAGAGATTACATTGGGATTCTTTAGAGTTTACATCGGGATTCCTTAGATATTACATTGGGACTCTTTAGAGATTACATTGGGATTCTTTAAGAGTTTACATTGGGATTCTTTAGAGTTTACATCGGGATTCCTTAGATATTACATTGGGACTCTTTAGAGATTACATTGGGATTCTTTAAGAGTTTACATTGGGATTCTTTAGAGTTTACATTGGGATTCTCAAGTGAAAACATCAGGATTCTTAGAAACTACATTGGGATTCCTTAGAGATTACATTTGGATTCTTTAGAGATTACATTGAGATTCTTTAGCGATTTTTTTCTGATTCTCAAATGATTACATCAGGATTCTTAGAAATTCCTTAGGGATTACATTTGGATTCCCTAGAGATTACATTGGGATTCTCAAATAGTTCCATCGGGATTCCTTAGAGATTACATTGGGATTCTTAAGTAGTTACATCGGGATTCTGTAGAGTTTACATTGGGATTCTTTAGAGATTACATTGGAATTCCTTAGAGATTACATTGGAATTCCTTAGAGATTACATTGGGTGATTCTTTAAAGATTACATTGGAATACTTTAGAGATTACATTGGAATTCTTTAGAGATTACATTGGAATTCTTTAGAGATTACATTGGGATTCTTTAGAGATTACATTGGGATTCTTTAGAGATTACATTGGAATTCTTTAGAGATTACATTGGGATTCTTAACATATATAATGATAAAATTGGGATTCCACAGATATAACAACAGTAAAATTGGGATTTCCTAAATGTTACATCTTTAAATTAGGATTCCACAGATGTTACAATTGTAAAGTTGGGATTTTACAACATGTTTCATAGTTGGGATTTGATAGGCACTATTCAGTTTTTTTTGATAATTGGATTTGTTGATTTGATAGGCCTAGGCATCATTAATTAAATTAATTAAAAACTAGTACTTGAATTGTGAGTTTTAGAATTTCAATTTTAAAAGATAAAAAGATTTTAAATAGAATGGGTTTTAAAAACCTACGAAACAAATAGTTTAATCCCAGAGCTGTAAAGATAGTTTTCTCTGTGTAAGAAATCAGTCAATAAATCTGTTTTTAAAAGTAAATATTAAAACATATAATCTTTTGTCAAGCACTGTTTAGGATACCTACATGTGCACAAAAAGCTTGGGAGGGGATTCATGCGAAGGTAAAAATAAAATGCTTAAAAAATGATTTTAATTAAAGGTCAGAACTTGGGATCGAGGATTGATCTCCATCTTGTGAAGATCTACGGATTAACTAAATTAATCATATTAATCCCTGCAGGAATGGATCAAGCTTTGATCCTCAAATTAAAAGTGCCCACATTGGATATTGAAATTAATTGTTCAAGATTAACAATTCTCCACCCCAAACGAATTAATTAGAATCCTTAGCTAATTAATTTTAATAAAGACCTTGAGATTTAATACAGTCGACGTCGCAAATATCAATACAATGAAGACGATTTCAATTTTGATCTATATCAAGCTGTTAAACAGCAAATATACAAATAAACAGAGAAGTCAAGAGAAGCTGTCAATTAAAAAAGTTTCTCTTTGATTATTTGTAAACTTGTAATTCGGAAAAAAGCTTGTTAACAATCAAAACTTAAATTCTTTAGCTAAAGTTCAACGAAAATAAAAGAAAATTATCTTATTTTAGGCGATTCCGGGGGACCCTTGTTCTTTCAGCAGGGGGAACAGTTTTTTCAGGTATAGGAATATATAAAAAGTAGTAATCTATGTTTGTGTGTTTGTATTTCCGATCATAACTCATGAACCCCTGGACCGATTTGCCTCAAATTTTAATTGGGTGAACTCTGGAGAGCCTCGGGAATGTTCATCTTGGTTTAAAAGTTCTAAGTTGGGTGAGTTGTCTCTTGAAGAGAAAGTTTAGTTTCCAAGCAAAGTTGGGTTTCCAAGTTAGTAAAGCAAAAGCTTCGGAACCCAGCTTTGCCTACATTACAAACTCAACTCAGACTTTTCAAACCAATCTAAGAATATTCCCGTGGTTCTACCGAGTTTTCTACCGAGTTCCTCAAATTTGTAGACAATTCACAACGGTACCCTCTGAACCTTTGTCAGATCAAGTAGACAGAGTAAATACAGACTGGCAATAAAATGGGTTAAGAACCCTTTCATACCCAGGCGCGCCAAGCGGGCCTTTCAGTAAGAAAAGGTTCTTAACAAAGTATTATATAAGTTTAAAATATATATATATATATATATAAGGAAAAAATGTTATTTGTTGCAGATGACAGATTTCTAACTTTTATCTCAAGAAATGCTGTGCAAAGATAACTTTCCTGTTTTATTTTTAGATATTTCATTTCCCATTTCAGTTGCCAGGTCTAGAGACGGTTCAACCATGTATCTTGAATCGGTGATTCAGGATTTTTGTCATATCCTGCAGAACTCCAGAGAAGTATTTGAATCGTCACGGTATCGGTACTTAAGCGACTAAGCTTAAACTCATTAAATTTGGTCACGAGCTATATAATATATAATATATATATTTGAACAATATATTCAGCGAGAAAAATGATATTTTCATTGTGATGATAATTTCAACGGAACCAGAGTGAATAAATTACTTCATTTTCAGACGGAGTGACCGGCAATGTATGGTAATTGAACTGAATATGTAGTATTGTAGACACATTTTTTAGAGGATTCATTTGAGAGATATAAAACGTATCTACGACGTATATTTACTGAGTTTGAGCGCAAAGTCAACGTTCAAAATCATGAATGTGGGTAAGTACGTTTTCAGAACCGGGTTTTTTAAATTATTTAATAACGACGACAAAAAATGTAAACAAAATTCTACAGTTTAGGAACAGGTTGAGTAAATAAAAATTAACTATTATCATCAACAATAAGTAATCTTCTTCAAAGATTAGTTTCTATAATCTCTCATTATTCACAAAGATTTTCTGCAGATTTTCTGGAATTATTATTGAAAAGACGACATTTGAAGAATTTGAAGAAATCTGTGAACAAATTTATAGAAAATAAGAAATTCAATATAATGATGAAAAAGGAAATAATTAATTCTAACATTGATTTATTGAAAAATTTCTTTTGGTAAATCTGTTCCTAAACATCTAATTAGTTTACTTCAGAATTTTTACCATAATTTTCGTCGTTATTAAATAATTTTATAAAACCGATTCTGAAAACGTACTCACCCAAATTCGTGATTTTGAAGGTCGACTATGTTCTCAACCTCAGTAAATATACGTCGTAGAAAAGTCTCAAATAAATTCTAAAAGATTTGTCTACAATACTGCATATTCAGTTCAACCACCATACATTGCCGGTCACTCCCTTTAAGGCAGGAGTAATCAGCTCTGGACATAGTTTGCTCTGTGGAGAAGGAACAGGGTTTAGCACTGATCTAAAACTGCTAGGAATATCATTATTATCACTGTAATCATTCTGTAAAATATTCAGAAGAAAAATGGAAAAAATAATAAACCAACCAAATAATTTGTTTAATGTGAAACAATATGTAGTTTTTGTTGTTTAAAAATTTGCCTAAATTAATGTTATAAAAATTTGAAGTTAATTTAAAAGAATTGTTTTATAAAATGATATTTCAGGGGACTGGGTTAGAGATAACATCGAGGGCGAGGTATATATATTTGCTTCTATAGATAGATAGATAGATATACAGGGATAGATAGATATACAGGGATAGATAGATAGATATACAGGGATAGATAGATAGATAGATATACAGGGTTACCCACAAAGAATCAGACTTTAATGCCGACCTTTCACCCTTAAAATATGATGATTAAATTCAAATTCGATGTCCCATCCGTTGTGTGTAACCCTGTAGCTTAACTACCTGGTTTTGCCAATGGAACAATGATTTCTTTTCTTCAAAAAATATCATTACGCGCGCAGCAAAATTTCTTTTTTTTAACACGCAAATCAAATTTATAATTTTTTATTTTTTTAATATGAGACCACAAACTATCTCGTTTTGGAGACTTTTGGGGTCTAATTTACAAATCTAGATTTTACAAAAAAGGTTTCTCACCCCAGGGTCTAAAATTCGCGTACAATCTCTTTTTTATATTTAGTTTGAGACTTGGCAAACCTCGCTAGGAGCAGAAAAAGAGGAAATAAAACAGGATATTGAAGGAAGTGATATTCAAATAATTACTAATATTCAGAGGATCCGTATCCGTTGGATCCAGATTCGCAAACATATGCGCCTCCGCGAATACGGATCCAAGGTGCAAAATATCAACAAAAACTGTCCAAAAAAAAACTGAACTATAAAAGAAAGAGATTTTAAAAATTTTCCACATCTCTGAACCCTTCATCGAAATTATTTTAAACTCTTTTTCAAAAATCTAGTAAATCTTAAAGAAAAGTTAATGACCTGTATCCGGATCCGAATCTAAATGTAATGGATTCTAAGCACTTCTGATCTTGGTCCTTTTCACTTCTCTTTTACTACTTTGATACACTGAGAACGAGAAACTATGGAACATTAAGACGACGTTAACGCGAAATATTATATTTTTGTTCCAAAGCAAATAGTTTTAGTTGTTTCTTATCAAAGCACTTTATATGTGAAAAGGGTCTGTATCGCTGCAAGATTGCTGTGTCTTATATTCATTGAACTACAGAGTTACCCACAAAGGATGAGACTGTAAAGACGACCCAAAAATCTAAAAATATGACGATTTAAAGCTTGGATTTTGGTTTCTGCACTCGATTGAGAATGACGATGGTTTACTAAATGATTAAGAACAGAAATAAGCCATTTTTAGCATACAAGGAACCCTGAATGCAAGGAAATGAACTAAACAAATTTTGTACAATTTTCTCTGAAGTTAGGAAATAAAATCTTGTCTAGACCAAGGTTGTATAATAAGGTTGCTTACTCTAATTGCGCTCCAATGTACGGGAAATAAAATCTTGTTTAACCCAAGGTTGTATGATAAGGTTGCTTTCTCTCGATGTGCTTCAATGTATGGTAAATGTCGTCTCCTAAACATAGATAGATAAAATCCTCACATGACGTCACTGATTATAGAGGTGAGAGTGACGTCATATGAGGATTTTATCTATCTATGCCAAGGAGACGACATTTTTCGCACATTGGAACGCATTGAGAATAAGTAACCTTATTATACATATACAACCTTGGGTTAGACAATATGGAACTCTTTCAATAATTGCAATCAAATTACTTGTTAACTGTAAAAAAATGCAATCAATACTTATTTGCAATTAAAACTCAAATGCAATCAAGTTTCTTGCTATCAGCATCAATACTTATATGCATTCAAAATTCAATTGCAATCAAATTAATATCAGTAAAAAACTGCAATCAAAACTCAATTGCAATCAAATTAATATCTGTAAAAAATGCCATCAATACTTATTTACAATTAAAACTCAATCGCAATCATAACTTATCTGCAATCAAATTGCTTGCTATCTTTAAACAAATGCAATCAAAACTCAATTGCAATCAATACGTATTAGCAAATAAAATCAATTGCAATCAATACTTAATTGCAATTAAATTGCTTGCTATCTGCAAACAAATGTAATCAATACTTATTTGCAATTAAAACTCAATTGTAATAAATACTTATTAGCAGATAAATTCAATTGAAATCAAATACTTATTTGCAATCAATACTCAAGTGCAATTAAATTACTTGATATCTGTAGCAATTGCAATCAATACTTATTTGCAATTAAAACATAATTGCAATACAATTACTTGCTATCTGTAAAAAATTGCAATCAATACTTAAATGCAATCAAAACTCAATTGCAATAAATGCTTATTTTCAATCTAAGCTATTGATAAGAAGATATTGTTGTTCTTCAATCTGGAAAAATGCGCAAGTCACGTACATAGAAAAACTTGAAACACTGTTTAGGATGCAGAACATGAAGATAAAGACAACAATGATGACAATGGTAATGATAACAATGATAATGATGATAAAGAAAGCAGTAGCTGGAAACAAATCAACTATCCAAATCAACAAATCAACTCGGAGCCAATAAATGAAATTGAGAATCATAATAATAATGATAATGATAATACAGATAGCAGTAGTTGGAATCAAGTTCTGTATTCCAGTTCAATACATGACTCAGATCAAATCAGAGAAATGGAGACGAATAGTAATAATGATGATACGTTTGCTAGTTGGAAACAAACCCAATATTCCATTTCGAATAATGGCTAATAAATAAATATTTGCAATCAAAACTTAATTGCAATAAATAGATATTTGCAATCAAAACTCAATTGTAATAAATAAATATTTGCAATTAAAACTCAATTGCAATAAATATTTGCAATCAAAACTCAATTGCAATAAATAGTTATTTGCAATCAAAACTCAATTGCAATAAATAGTTATTTCCAATCAAAACTCAATTGCAATGAATAGTTATTTGCAATCAAAACTCAATTGTAATAAATAAATATTTGCAATCAAAACTTAATTGCAATAAATAGATATTTGCAATCAAAACTCAGTTGCAATCAATACTTATTTGCAATTAAAACTCAATTGCAATAAATGCTTATTTTCAATCTAAGCTATTGATAAGAAGATATTGTTGTTCTTCAATCTGGAAAAATACGCAAGTCAATTACATAGAAAAACCACCATTGAAGATATTCTATTTTCTGCTAGAAAAAAAAACAATATTTCATTCATCATTCATCAAACAAAGGTTTTTGATTACAATTGATTCTAACTGCAATAGATTTAGATTGCAAAAGTTCCTGATTACAATTAAATTTGATTTCAAGTTTGATTGTAATTTAAAGTATCAAACAACTTTATTCGAAAAAACCTCGTTTTCACTTAAAACTCGATTAAAAAAGATGTACTCCTTGTATTGATATAAACGCCAACCACTGTATTTAAAAAGAAATAACCCTGACATTTAAACTCCCAAACTTTAACGCCAAAAAACGCACAGAATACTAGAAACCCCTAGTAGTTTCTGCATGCAAATTTTACAATAGACTTGTACAATATTTTCAATGATTCATTCTTTATACGTTTTCTGATGAGTCCCAAAAATCCCAAGTTAGAACTTTGAGTATAAACAATCCAATATGATAGTGTACACTGAATAATCTCCAATAGGACAGTGTACACCGAATAATCATGTACAAAATAAAGAATATAAGGTACATGTTCATGTACAAACAATGTTTAGGATGCAGAACATAAAGATAAAGACAACAATGATGACAATGGTAATAATAACAATGATAATGATGATAAAGAAAGCAGTAGCTGGAAACAAATCAATTATCCCAATTCACAAACAGACTCGGAACCAATAAATGAAATTGAAAATCATGATGATAATGATAATACAGATAGCAGTAGTTGGAATCAAGTTCTGTATTCCACTTCAATACATAACTCAGATCAAATCAGAGAAATGGAGACGAATAGTAATAATGATGATACGTTTGCTAGTTGGAAACAAACCCAATATTCCATTTCGAATAATGGCATTGAAAACAAACTAAAGGAGATAAGAAGAGAAGAGGTGCGGATGGACATGAATAACGGATTTGAAAATAGTTTTAGCAAAATTCATAGAACCCATAATCTGATGAATCCGCCCTATTTCTAGAACCTTCTCTTGACCTGGGTGGAAAAAGGACTGAAATTGTAATTTCAAGTGACCTTCCATTTAAAGAGGAGCATTCCTGATTCACAACGGTACCATTAACTGATCAAGGATCTACTGAAACTCTTTTAATCGCTTAACAATTTGTTTGTAAGCTGTTGTATATTAAACTATCAATAGAAATTAAAAACTTACTTTTACTGTTTGAAAACGTTGTTTAAGTAAAACAGTCAATCTACTTTGGAGTTATGCAAGTAACAGATCAGCTGTTTGAGTTCAGACGTACACAGCATACAGTCAGGTTTTAGAGGATTTCAAGCGGGTTTCAATTTTAAAATCTCTCTCTCTACTCAATGAACAGTCAAAGGTTTCTAGGGTACTGTTGTGAATCAGGCATTACCCTCTTTACATATAGAGTCCCTTGAAATTACTGTTTGCAATCCCTTTAAGTGACAATATTAATTCTTTTTCTTGATTAACATTCAATAGGTCCAAGCTTGCAACATAATGTCAAGTAAATGGAAAAAATTTAAATTTCTAAATTTATTTACTCCACTGAGCAATTAATAAATAATAATCTAATAATCTAAATTTTGTAATTAAACAGTGAAATGAAGACAATAATTTGAGTACATTTCTGAAAGAGTATTTTCCCAAATGGAAAATTTCTTTGAAAAAGTAAAAAAAAAACATCAAATAGGCAGAGTTCAAACAAAGTTGGGAAAATTTCTTTGATGAAGTAAAAAAAGCTTTTGATACGTTTTTTTTTCATTATAAATGTAAGGTTACTATTTTATTTTTTGTTAAAGGGGGGGGGGTAGTTGACATCTATAGCAAAATAATACTGACTCAGTATGATTAATACATAACATCACTGTACACAAAATATATAAAATTTGTAAGAAGGTTACTGCACACTACAGGGTATGCTAATATATTTTTAAATGTATGAGGGTGGGGAAGGGGAGAGGTAAAAATAAATGTTTTAGGGACAAAATTGAAAAATTAACAATAAATTTGAAGTCTTATGCTTTTATATTTTTCTCTCAAAAAAAATATCCAGTTTTTTCCTAAATTGATAATGCTTTATTCCCCTAGAAACTAATTTTAGGCTTAAATCATTTGTTGAACATGATTTAATATATTGGGGAGAAACTGCTAATAAACCCCTGATAACATGTTTGAATATATTGGGGAGAAACTGCTAATAAACCCCTGATAACATGTTTGAATATATTGGGGAGAAACTGCTAATAAACCCCTGATTTTTTTTACAATATGTTCATGCAATAAATATGAATGATAAATACATACATTAGATTAAATTAGACTAGAAAGTTAGTATATCAGTTAAAAGGTTAGTTACAATCTATACAAAAATGTTCAAAATTTTATTTATAGTTTTTTTCAGATTTTAGTTATTTTATAAATCTGAATCCATTCAGTTGAAAGTTATTCTAAAATTTTCATCAGATTTTGATGTACAATATTTTGACACAATTACTTGATAAAATTTGCAAATTTTGACTCAATTTCCTCTGTTTCTTATGTCACCGGAAGCTCTGTCAAATTTTCCTAAAAAGAAGAGTTTAACATTTAAATCTAAAAAATAACTGGTTTGACTTTGCAACCTCGATTGTTAGAAACAAACAGTCATAATAAATATGAACATAAATATTTGTGAGATAATTCTAACATTCTAGCTGTTCATAATTTCAATTAAAATGTTCGATTTTAGAATAAAATGTTAGTTCCTTCTAACAGTGCATAAGGAAGGTAAACATGTCTTGTTGTTTATACAGACCGCAACACATGTCGGAACATTCTTTAGAAATTTAATATTTACAAATTATCTTAATCATTATCATTATCTGAGTTTGTTTCCTATTTTTCAGATCACACAACATTTTTATATATTGAATATGATGTTTATATATTGAATATGATGTTTATATATTATAACGTTAGAACTGAAGAGGGTCCACACTCAGAAATATAATCGAAAGATTTTAAACAAAAATTAAATAAACTGATTTAATAAAGAGGAATAAAAACATCTATATATTCATATTTATTTGGCTTGTCTGTGAGTTGTTTGTATCCAATAACCGTAAAAACGACTCAGCCGAAACTGCCCAAAGTTTTAAAACTTTTGATATTTAAAGAAATTCACCAATAAGAACAGAAAAATCTGGGAAAGTTTTTAGTTTTATTCTATTACAAGATGATGGCATGAAAAGCAATGATATATAAATATACACCTGCTGATTCGCATTTTCAACTGGTAGTTCTGTCATCCCCTCAATACTCATCCCATCTACATTCTCCCCTGTCATCCCATCCACAGTCCCGAGTTTATCCTCCTGACTAGTGCATGACTCAGATCTATTGTAGGCCTTCTCGTACATCTCACTCTCCTACACGGATAAATATTTTATGAAAAAATAATTCTCCCCCATCTTCAAAATAATCTTTTTTTCCCTCTGGCATGTTAGGAATACTTGCACGGGGCGCAACAGTCTTTATTTAATATTTTCTCATGGAATTTTGGGAAAATAAAAAAAGTTTTTGAGGTGAAACTGGAAAAACCTGCCAGTTTATGTCCAATTCCCCCCCCCCTCAAATCCCATAAAAAGCTCATATTAAATTTATTTACTTTAAATAGGAAAAAATAATTAGGACAATTTAAACTTTAATTAGAAAAAATAGAAATATTGTTACAGGTTGTTTATTAACCTGAATAGAGGCTGCACCAGATTTTTTGTTAAGCAGAGCGTGGAAGAAATTGGAAATCGCTCCGTCGCTTGTGTTCTGAATTGGGACTCGCTTAGCTACACCGTACACGCCAGGAGATCCAAACACCCGCCGTTCCGGCGTCTTTAGCACGCCTTCGGCGGTTTCCGAAGAATCTCCGAGATATTGGAAAATTCGTGCCAAAAAATCCTGCTCGGACTCTGCGACAATTTCTACTTTTGCCTCGTACTTTTTCAATAATTTGGGGGATTTTACAACGTCAGAGTAGGGTTGGTCCGGATAGAAGGTTCGGATATTCTCATAAAGGATCGATATTTTCGATTGACTGTCCCATCCAGCCGGTATAAACAGAGCATCTCGTTCCATCACTAGTTTCCACACAATCCATTTTTTTATTTGTCAAATTATAGGTGAAAAAATTGCTATTTAAAATGTTAAAAAGTTGCTGTTAAAATCAAAAATGAATAGATTTTTAGTAAATGACTAAATAACTAAATAAATGAATTATATTCCTAAAGCTGGTGTGTTGAAGGAGAAATGAAAAATCCTACAGCAATCATTATTTAAACTATATAAGTAAGGAGATGTCCTTTTATTATACCAATCTTAAGTTTTTAAATATTGTGTTAAACTGAATTTCAATTTTGGAAGCAAAAACAATTAAATTCTAAGGAACAATGGCATAATAAGTCCAAATTTCTGAAAAATTAAATAATCAGAAAATTTCTAAAACTGTACAGTGAGAAGTGGATTTTCAGGCTTAAACTATGGTTTAAAATAGTCAAATGAACATAAACCCCACCAATTGTGCATGTAAACAGACACTTTTTACTTAACAATTGATTTAATAATTAACCAGTAAAACAATTTACTTTGTAACAACATCAAACACACTTCAGTATTGCTGTAATGTCGTCTTCCTATTCTACAATTTACTGATTAGCACTGTATAAATTTGACTATGTGAAGAAAAGTTTGCAAAAAAAATGATTTTCTGTCCTGTGAGTAAGATATTTGTAAAGAAGATCACAATTCTTGTTCTCCTTCACAGAAACATAAAATAGACTTGCGCCCAGTCGCAAACAAAACTTCCTAAATACATAAATATTTATTAAGTATCTATATATATAAAGCCTAAAATTTACGAATGAATTGATAACTATACTCAAATTGAGATGGTTGAAAATTGTTGATTTAAACTAAAATAAATGAGAGGATGAATGAATAAAAGGATGAATATATCAATGAATGAATAAAATGTTCAGAGGATGAATAATTAAATGGATGAATAAATCAATGAAAAAATGAATATTAAAGGGACTGTAAAGGAAAAATGAAAGGGGGTATAGGCTGAAAGCTAATCACTTTAGCTCTTGATCGCGACCCATGAAAGTTTTATCTGATGTT